GTTTCCAGGATCTCATTTGGATTCCTTTTTAAAAATTGGTGCTACAGTGGACATTTTATAGTTCTTGGGTAAGGAGGCTGGATTGAGGGACATATATTTTTGTTAGAAGACCAGCAATTTCACTTTTGAGCTCTCAGGTGGATGCCATCCAGTCGCGGCAATTGGTCAGTCCCCCCCCCCCCCTTATTAGGCCTATAAGCTCATCACTCAGCACTACCCTCTTCCTCTGCACCTCAGACTCCCATCCTGCAAAAAAGTTAGTTTAGGCCAGGGGTAGGCAACCTAAGGCCTGGGGGCCGGATGTGGCCCAATTGCTTTCTCAATCCAGCCCGCGGAAGGTCCAGGAACCAGTGTGTTTTTACATGAATAGAATGTGTGCTTTTATTTAAAATGTATCTCTAGGTTATTTGTGGGGCATAGGAATTCGTTCATTCCCCCCCCAAAATATATATATATATAGTCTGGCCCACCACATGGTCTGAGGGACAGTGGACCGGCCACCTGCTGAAAAAGGTTGCTGACCCCTGGTTCAGGCACTAGAATCTGCCCTATATCTGCCACTGTAAAAGAAGATGCAGATCTCTCACTTTGTTGTGAGTCATTAGGTGAGCCTGGAAGACTGGGTATCAGACTTTTAAGAGAAATGTGATCATGTGCTTGAGTGGCTGGTGCTCAGATCTGGGGTGCAGGATACTGCACTTCAAACCCATCCAAGATATGGGTTTCTTAAATTGTCTTGGATAAGGTGGCAGCCAAGCCTCCATTTCCCCCATCTGTGAAATGGGCACGACAGCAATGTTGTTGTTTAGTCGTTTAGTCATGTCCGACTCTTCGTGACCCCATGGACCAGAGCACGCCAGGCACTTCTGTCTTCCACTGCCTCCTGCAGTTTGGACAAACTCATGCTGGTAGCTTCGAGAACACTGTCCAACCATCTCGTCCTCTGTCGTCCCCTTCTCCTTGTGCCCTCAAATCTTTCCCAACATCAGGGTCTTTTCCAGGGAGTCTTCTCTTCTCATGAGGCGGCCAAAGTGCAAATTAAATTGCTGGAGCAAGCTAAGTACCGGTATGTAAATAAGGAGGAGATAATCCAAGATGAGGAAGAGATCGTTAAAGGGGTGCTGAGATTTCATGGGGTTCCAGAACATTTATGGGATAGTAGTGTAGGGTCTGAAATTTGTCAGCCCTTCCTCACTTGTATTTGTGTTGCATTGGTTGTCCATAAAATATGGACAAGTTGAAGAGTTGAATGGTGGAGCCCACAATCACCAGTGGTCCGTTTCTGATCTAGAATGAGCAGAAAAATATGGGATTTTTATTTATATATTATTCCATTTATATCCCAACCATCCTTCGAGGCACTTACGTTCAAGGCACAAGGTACACGGTTCTCCTCTCTCCAGTTTATCTTCACAACAACCCTATGAGGTAGGCTAGGCCACAAGAAGGTTTAAGCAATTGAACCCTGGTCTTCCAGGTCCTCATCAGAGAATAAGAAGCTTGATCACTGACTGTGCTCCTTGAAGCTCATAAAATGGAAAGCAGAAAACAAATAGAGGGACCCTCTTGCACCTGGTAACCACACCTTTCTTTGGTAGATATTGGTCGATGGAGGAATCTCGTGAACCATGTGATGTGCTCCACGAACGCTGCTGCTTTTGAGGGATCTTTCCAGATTCCATCACTGGGTGTTCCGTCAAACTAAATCAGTGCACGGAATGACTTCTGCAAACCTCTGCAGCAGGAATTTCCTCTTCTCCCCTGCCCACCCCCAGATCTGCTCTGGGGATTCCCCCAAGCCTACAGAGCACACTTGGGATTGGTGCACCCAGGGAAATGAGGGCAGGAGACGGAGGAGGGACGTTCTGCTGCACTTGTGGATGTCGTGCTTGCAGAAGTTGCCATGCGCAAGTCATTACTGGGTTGGAGGCAGCCCTAGGAACCTTGGTGAGGCTGAAGCTTCCAACCTTGTTTATTTATTTTCCTGCTGATTTTTGTTGTTGTTATACTTGTTTGTGGCTTTTCGCAAAAAAAAAAAAGATGTTCCAAAGCTTTAAAAGAGGACAAGACAAATTTATGGAGGATGTTGCTATCAGTGCTTATAACAGCCATGATGACTATTGTTCTACCTTCACTGTTAGTGCTTCTGAATACAGTACCAGTTTCAGGGAATCACAAGTAGGGAAAGCGATGTTGCGCTCACACGTTCTATTCTTGTTCTTATGTTCCTTCCTTCATTTCCCATAAAACCCACCCTTCCTTCCTTCCTTCCTTCCTTCCTTCCTTCCTTCCTTCCTTCCTTCCTTCCTTCCTTCCGTCCCCACACTTCTAGGCACCACCTCACCATTCTCTCTCCATCTGTCCTATGCACCTCCTTCAGGCTCCATCCTTCTCTCCCATCCCCCTTTGAAAGCCAACATCTTTGACTCCCCCCCCCCATCCGCCTCCGGGGTCTCTCAATTTTTTTCTTTTTTGCCCCACACCATCCCTGCCTCCTTTTTACCTCTTCCCTGTGGCCTTTTGACCTCCCCCCAGAGCTACAAAAGTAAAATCCTCAGAGAAGCTCGCCACGGGAATGTTAATGAATCCCCAGCACAAAGGCGCAAAGACTTTTACTTCAGTGGTTCTGGGGGGAGGTAGAAAATGGGCCCCTTTGTGAGACGATATTTCTGTGTGTGGCGGAGTGGAGAGGATTTTGAGAGGGGGTGGAGAAGGGATCTCTGTCGTGTCTCCGAAAGCGCCAAGAAAATTAGGAAGAGTGGAGAAGGCTCCTTTCTTTCTTTTCATCCCTTCCTTTTCCACTATCCCTCTTTCGTCTTATTGTATCGGTTGGTAAGTTCAGTCACCTGAACCCCTGAGGGTCAGAATTAAATGTAAGCAGAGACTCAGCCTTTGCCTTCCCAAAGACAAATAAAGGAAACTCTAATTTTCCAGGGCTTTTTCATTATCATTATTTCTTTTAATCTCCTTTGCACCTCTGGGTCCAGAGATGTTAGCAATTCAGTCCAATTAAAAACAAGACAAAAACTCCCCCCAAAACCAAACTGCCATTGTTATTAACCCCAAAAGAGGATTAATTGAATAATAATTCTTCCATTTCCATTCTTACCACGTAGCTCTGAGCACATCTTACTTGGAGATAAGTTCCGTCAGGTTCAACAGGTAAGGCACTCTTACGTTAATGAATGAAGAAATTAATTAGCAAAAAATTATGGCTCATGCTTCAACAGTAAAAAGGAGTTCAGCTGACAATTAAAAACAACAGTTTATCTGCCGGGTTGAAAATGATAAACTAATAAATAGCAGTGACGACGGCCAACATCAAAAACTATTTTAAACTCCTCTTCCCAGCCAGACACACATATCAGCATATCAAAGAGAACGTTAAAAAAAATTGCCTGGCAGCAAAAATATTATTATTGATTTGTTAAGTGCCTTCTAATCCAGCAACAGTTCAAGGCGTTTACACAAAAGATAACTAAAAACAGTTGAAAACACAAAAACAACAAATAGATCAAAATCCTAACAAGTGGGCCCTTGTGGCAAAGACCCACTTCTCCAGCTTGGAGGGTCTGTACATAAAAAAGATAATAATATATGAGTGCCAGCAGAGTCTCTGAATTCCAAGGGCACCACCACCAAGAAGTCCCTGTCTCAGTCACCTCCCGCTTCATCTCAGATGGTTGTGCTGTGGCTTCAGTAGCATGGTTTGTCAAAAGCTGGGGTCCCCCCACCCCCGTTGCTACCAGCCTCACTGCTGCTTACCTGGACACGGGCTGGACTCAGTGTGTGTGTGTGTGGTTAGGTTGTGCAATTGCATCTATAGCAACTCTGAGGACAATCTCAAGAGGTTCGGTGGAGGGGAAATGCATGCACTTATGCTTCTCTGAACATCAGCTTGAAAGATTCGTGCAACAAACTTGATTCTTCCTGACTTAGGCTGCCCTGATTTACCTGGTTTTTCAGTCCTTATCTTGTCTGGAAGTGCCCAGGGTTTCATTTGAACAGGGAAGCCTGAACTCCGCAAAGCCACGAATGTGCCTTGTGTGCGGTCGTGGGATCTGACTCCCTCTGAACTCAGATCCTGAGAGGAGTAACTCAACTGTGGGCACGCCATATACGGTATTTAAAACATACCCTCCCACACAAACAAAAAATGAATCCTGGGAACTGTAGCCCTCTGAGGAACACAGTACAGTGGTACCTCGGGTTAAGTACTTAATTCGTTCCGGAGGTCCGTTCTTAACCTGAAGCTGTTCTTAACCTGAAGCACCACTTTAGTTAATGGGGCCTCCTGCTGCCGCCGCGCCGCCAGAGCATGATTTCTGTTCTCATCCTGAAGCAAAGTTCTTAAGCTGAAGCACTATTTCTGGGTTAGTGGAGTCTGTAACCTGAAATGTATGTAACCTGAAGTGTATGTAACAGTGGTACCTTGGTTGACGAACGAAGTCAGCACTCTGGTTTGTGAACGTTCTTTGGAACCTGAACGTCCGACGCGGGTTCTGCAGCTTCCTGCAGCCAATCGGAAGCTGCGCCTTGGCTGTCAAATGTTTTCGGAAGTCGAACGGACTTACGGAACGGATTCCGTTTGACAACCAAGGTACGATTGTAGAGGTCTCCGGATTTTTCCTGTGGGGGCGGGCGATACGTTATAAATGTGCTTTGAATGAACGTTGTATATGCAGCCTAAACTCTTCCTCTTCCCTCGCTACTACTCCACTGTTTGCTATTACCACATCCCTTTATTTCTCTCTCTTTCCTTTTCCCCCTTTTGCTCTGGAGCTGACCCATCCCTTTTAGCAACCGCTGGTTTCCTGGGGCCATACAAATTGGCCATATCCATCTTCGCTGCATGCAACTGGAGTTGGCAAGAGATGTGAGCTGAAGCCACCTCTCTCTCTCTCTCTCTCTCTCCCCTCCCATCCTCCCCCTCCCCCTCGCTTTGGCTGGAGTCCCCCATTCCCCACCACCAAGGCCACCCCATCCTCGCTTCCCCCGGCTCACTCTCCCTCCCCAAGGCATTGTCTCCTACACAAGCCCCTTTTCTTTCCGTGTTGCACAGGATTCTGACATGGAGGAGCTGAAAGGGGGACAGGAGGTGGCTGCACGGGAGGTGAATGAGTGTGGCGGATAAAAGCATTGACTCTTTTTACATGCGGGTGGGGGGGGGGAAGAAGAGGAGGAGGAGGACTGGGAGAGGAAGCGGGCAAGGCGGGCCCACAGCTGGGACATCAACATGGGGGAGATCTCTGCCGTCCATGTGTGTGTTCTGCATGCCAAGATTGTGGCAGCAATCTTTGCCCTTCGTTGGTGCTTGAAAAATAAATAAATTTAAAGACAGCGACTTTGCAAGCCATAGAGAGAAGTCAGCAACTTCGGATGGGGGTTCCTTTTTCTTGTAGTTAACTGATGTTTCCTTTAGTTAACTGTTTGCTGGAAACCTCAAGAGGAGATTGTGCTCTTATGCTCGTTCAGGTCCTTTTGGGCTTCCCACAAAGGGCCTCTCCCTATATTTAGGGCATTTTGCGATTGAACTTGCTATGCCGTCATGTGTCGTCTGTTGTTGGGACAGAGGCACGGCAGGAATTTCCCCAACTTGGCTGATTGGCTGTTGCCATTTGGGTTTTGCCTGATCGTCACAACTTGTATGATTGCAGATAGGCACTCGTTCAGGTGATAGGGATGGGAGACCGGTCTCACCATCCCTATGTGAAGGGTATTCCGTTAAAGGGATCCAGGGACTCAATTTGGTTTGGTCAACCTCTGAGAGGGGGTTGTGCCCATGCCTGAGTCCAGGGGAGCATCTGGGGAGTGGACATAGTCCGTTGCTGGGCTTTCCACCGACCTCAGGTCTTCACCCTTGGCTGACTTATGGTAGAGCTCAGGGTCAGCGCTACCTGCATGGCAGGGAGCTAGTCAAACCAGAGCCTATGCAACCACTCACTTTCTATAATCAATAAAGTTGTGGCCTAAATTCTGCCAAAAACCAAAACTAAAATTTGAGTCAAATGTGTGTTTATTTAGGGGGGAGGTCTCTGGGTCTGAACACACAAAGGGCCTCTGGCTGGCCACTGTGAGAACAGGATGCTGGGCTGGATGGGCCCGATCCTGCAAGGCTCTTCTCATGTCCTTCTTATTTATATTGCTTTTTATTTATGTGCTGGTGGCTGTTTTGAGCTGCTTTCTGAGTATGAGAGCCAAGGACACATTCTGGCCAGGTAAAAACATGTAAGGATATACAGTGGCACCTCGGGTTACATACGCTTCAGGTTACAGACTCTGCTAACACAGAAATAGTACCTTGGGTTAAGAACTTTGCTTCAGGATGAGAACAGAAATCGTGCTCCGGCGGCAGCAGGAGGCCCCATTAGCTAAAGTGGTGCTTCAGGTTAAGAACAGTTTCAGGTTAAGAACGGACCTCCGGAACAAATTACGTACCGTAAGTACTTAACCTGAGGTACCACTGTAATTGTCTCTTTCTTATTTATTTATTTATTTGTTTATTTATTTATTTATAGTGTCCCCGGATTCATTGGAAAAAATCTGGTAACCTTATAATCTAAATGCCTGCCAGTGTGCACATGAATTCCTCCAGAGGAATACCATCCGTTAAGAGTCACCCCTTCCATCTCCACAGCACATTGTTTCTTCTGCAACGTTTGCCAGACCGTTATGTTAAAACCATCCACCAGAGGGACACAACCATAAGGTACAAAGGTAAGCATGGTAGCCTTTTACTCTCTCTACTTTTGGGGCTTCTCACCTCAGTGGAGAGAAGAGAACCAGATTTATATGTTCAGCCATGAAACGATAGAGAAAAAGAGAGAGAGAGAGAGAGAATAGAAGGCAACTATCTCGGTTTCCGCCTTACAGTTCTTGACAATTCCTCATTCAACTAGTTACCAGAACTGAATTGTGGATTGTTCTTGCTTGCTGATATTAAACCTTTTACTTTAATATCTTATTTTTTATTTTTTTTAAATCATTTTCACTTTTAACAATTAGCATCATATATAAATCACAAACATTTTACAAATAGGATTGTCCCATACAGAACAACGAAATTGAAAATCTACACCAGACATTCAAAAACCAACAAGCCTGCTATCCCAGCTATCCCAGCCTGGTTAGCCCCCTAAAATCTCTGATACCCCATAATTAAATACAATATACTCACATAGATACTACCTTACACTGCGTTTAAAACCAAAATCGCATTTAAATAGAAACTGTTTCTCAGGTGGCTAGTCCTAGTCTTTATAACCCTGTCCCTTCTTCCAGAAGGCAGAAGCTGAAAGAAATCATTTTTGGACGTCTGGTATCCTTACTTTAACAGCCCCCAGAGCATCCTGGGAACTGCAGTTTGTTAAGGCTGCTGAGAGCTGTTAAGATACCTGTGTTCCCTTTTCAGAGCTGCAATTGCCCGAGTTTCCTGAGAGAAGGGATGGATCGCTAAACCACTCTTGGAATTGAAATTCACAGCTTCCTGTTCACTTTGAGATGTGCTAGGCTAAGGGGTTGGAGAAGAAGAAGAAGAAGAGTTTGGATTTGATATCCCACTTTATCACTACCCGAAGGAGTCTCAAAGCAGCTAACATTCTCCTTTCCCTCCCCCCCCACAGCAAACACTCTGTGAGGTGAGTGGGGCTGAGAGACTTCAGAGAAGTGTGACTAGCCCAAGGTCACCCAGCAGCTGCATGTGGAGGAGCAGGGAATCAAACCCGGTTCACCAGATTACGAGTCCACCGATCTTAACCACAACACCACACTGGCTCTAAATGACCTCCAAGTTACCTTCTAGCTTCAAATTCTAAGGTGCCACCCACACCTTGAATTTAATGCACATTTATACCGCCTTAACAGTCATGGTTCCCCTGAAAGATTCCTAGGGAGCGTAGCTCCCTGCCCCCCCAACAGAGCTGCAATTTCATAGAATCATAGAATCTTAGATTTGGAAGGGACCCAAGGATCATCTAGTCCAACCCCCTGCAATGCAGGAATCTCAGCTAAAGCATCTCTGACAGATGGCCATCCAACCTCTGCTTAAAAACCTCCAGGGAAGGAAGAGTCCACCACCTCTCATGGACGTCTGTTCTGTTGCTGAACAGCTCTTACCGTCAGAAAGTTTTTCCAAATGTTGAGTCGGAATCTGCTTTCTTGCAAGTCGAAGCCATTGCCTCGAGTCCTATTCTCAGGAGCAGGAGAAAACAAGCACGCCAAAGTTCCCAGGATTTTTGGGGGGGACACACCATGTGATTTAAATGTACAACGTGAGTATGACCTGCATCTCTATGCAGACAGAGGCGAGGCAGTTTTTTAAGCCCCCGTTTCTCATCCATAGGAAGAAAACGGCGGGGAGACAGAAATGAAAACGTGTTCATGTACCCAATGTGTGTGAACCAGAGGAAGGCATGAAACGCTTTCTAACGCTAGTGGAAGACCAAAGTAAAAAAAAAGAGCAACTTCCTAAGCAAATATTGTAGGGTTGTATTTGTAAGTTAAGAAAGGAAGTGGTTTCTATCTTTCCTGAGTTTCATCCGCAGTATACACCCCCCCGACCCCTTGTGATGTGGAACCTTCTTCTCAACTTCAACCTAGAGGAGCTAAGTGTTTGTGAGATTTATTGCTGAAGTAGAACTCTGCATTGCACTATGAAGTTTTCTCCTGCTGCACTCTTTCTCCTAGGTAAGAACGATCACATCTACTTTTCTCTCACCTTGTCCCTTGTACAGGTAGCACAAGGAGAATCCTGAAGGAAAACAAAATGACAATGGAAGAATGATAAGGTCAGCTTTTGGAAACATTGCTCATAGAGAAACTAACCTATAATTTGTGTGTTATCAGAGATCAGGAAGACATAGGATCATAGGCTCAATTATTGTCAATTGGCAGGACGGACCAGCGATGACTGAGTCTCCTCACATGCAATATTGTGGAGAAACTGGTGGAGGAACCTTTGAGAGACTTTGCAGGAGAAATTTGGACGTATTATTTTTTCTGGCTTGATTTGGAGTCTCTGGACTGGGATATAATTGCATGCTGCAATGATGCCCTAATACTCTGATGCTGTCATGGGAAAATAAGCACTGCTTTTGTCAGGTTCATATTCCTCTCTCTCTCTCTCTCTCTCTCTCTCTCTCTCTCTCTCTCTCTCTCGTCTGTTTGTTGCTCAAATACAATAATAAAATAAGCTGAAAAAAAGAAAAACTTCAGAAACAAAATACTAAAAGATGGTTAAGTGTACTCGCTTCCAGAATTGGTGGTGGGTAAACTTCTGCCCATTCAGAAAGATGATGATGATGATGATGATTAAGAAGAAAATAATAATAATACTGATAATAATAACAACAACAATCCAAAAGGGAGAACAATGATCCAGGGAGAGAAATTGGTATTAGGCTCAGAATGTCCAAAGTTATCCAACATCAGGGAAGCAGTACATGTGAAAAGGATCTAGGAGTCTTGGTTGACCACAAACTTGACATGAGCCAACAGTGTGACGCGGCAGCTAAAAAAGCCAATGCAATTCTGGGCTGCATCAATAGGAGCATAGCATCTAGATCAAGGGAAGTAATAGTGCCACTGTATTCTGCTCTGGTCAGACCTCACCTGGAGTACTGTGTCCAGTTCTGGGCACCACAATTCAAGAAGGACACTGACAAACTGGAACGTGTCCAGAGGAGGGCAACCAAAATGGTCAAAGGCCTGGAAACGATGCCTTATGAGGAACGGCTAAGGGAGCTGGGCATGTTTAGCCTGGAGAAGAGGAGGTTAAGGGGTGATATGATAGCCATGTTCAAATATATAAAAGGATGTCACATAGAGGAGGTAGAAAGGTTGTTTTCTGCTGCTCCAGACAAGCGGACACGGAGCAATGGATCCAAACTACAAGAAAGAAGATTCCACCTAAACATTAGGAAGAACTTCCTGACAGTAAGAGCTGTTCGACAGTGGAATTTGCTGCCAAGGAGTGTGGTGGAGTCTCCTTCTTTGGAGGTCTTTAAGCAGAGGCTTGACAACCATATGTCAGGAGTGCTCTGATGGTGTTTCCTGCTTGGCAGGGGGTTGGACTCGATGGCCCTTGTGGTCTCTTCCAACTCTATGATTCTATGATTCTATGATTCTAAGACATTATAGAAGGTTTCCAATGAACTACTTTTTCTAGGATCCATATTACTTCTCCACTAAATCTGACAGGAAGGTGTGCAAAGTTTCTGCCTCCTTACAGCTTTGGATGGTATCAGAATTTGAGCCAAGGGGAACCAATCTCTCTCTCCCCCTCTCTCTCCCACAGGTGGTTTAAGAGGCAATAACCACCTTTAAATGCCTTTCCGAAAATGCCTTTCAAATGTGAACCGAATCAAATTTCTCCCCCATCTCTATTCAGAAGGACCTCTATGTTTCTTTGGGTTTTTGTTGCATTTATACGGCACCTTTTTATCCAAGGAGTTGCATGCATGGTCCTCCTCTTCCTTATGAACCCCCACAACAATCCTGCGAAGAAGGTTAGGCTGAGAAGCAGTGGCTGGCTTGAAGTTGCCCAGTGAGCTCCATGACTGAGTTGATGATTTGAACCCTTCTCTCATACCTTCAATCACTATACCACTCCGATTCTTAATTCTAAAACTTTTCTATTTCTTTTTGCATACTGCTCAGCTTTGTCTACGACATATAAATGTACTTTCACTCAGCTCAGTTTTTTCCTGGGGTGTATGAATTTGCATTCGCTCCAATACTTTGGCCACCTCATGAGAAGAGAAGACTCCCTGGAAAAGGCCCTGATGTTGGGAAAGATGGAGGGCATAAGGAGAAGGGGACGGCAGAGGACGAGATGGTTGGACAGTGTTCTCGAAGCTACCAACATGAGTTTGATCAAACTGCGGGAGGCAGTGGAAGACAGGAGTGCCTGGCGTGCTCTGGTCCATGGGGTCACGAAGAGTCGGACACGACTAAATGACTAAACAACAACAGCAACAGGAAAAATGATGCTGACCTTTACTATATTTATACAGACAGACAGACAGACAGACAGATATAGGGCTAGAAGAGTAAAGCACAAGAAAGGCAGAGATGTGTGGAAGAGGAGAAAGAGAGGAATGAAAGCCTGTGTGTGCTTTTTATCCTGGTGGATAGGTACAAAATTCTAAGCTACTGAAAATCATTTCTACGCACCCTCCCAGTAACTCTAAAGTGTCACCTTTGGAAAAGAACCAGCATGGTACAGTTTTTAGTGTGTTGGACTCAGTGGCGTAGCGTGGGTTGTCAGCACCCGGGGCAAGGCAAGTAATTTGCGCCCCCTAACCCGTGGATTTGCGCCCCCTAACCCGTGCATTTGCGCCCCCTAATCTGTGGATTTGCCCTAACCCCAGATGTTGCGCCCGGTGCGGCCGGCCCCCCCTGCACCCCCCACGCTACGCCACTGGTTGGACTAGGGACTATATAAATGTACTTTCACACAGCTCAGTTTTTTCCTGGAGTGTATGAATTTGCATTCGCTCCCCTCACAACATTTCTCTGCCTCCCTCTGCAGTTGCTCACAGATGGGTCTCCTCCCAAGTACTCCAGCCTTTGCAGCTTGCCTTGGTGGAAGGAAAGCAACTCCTGATTTCTTGCCAGCAGAACATCACATCTCATAACACGATGTCTTGGTACAAACAGGCACCAGAGGCTCAGGGGGCTGTGGCTACTTTAGGGTCCAGCTACCTGGGCTCAATTTCCATTGGAGTGTTCATCATGGACGTGGATCCGGCCTCACGAACATCCCGCCTAACCAAAGTAGCAGCAGCACTGAGTGACTCTGGCATCTACTATTGTGCAGTGAGTGACACAGTGAGAGGAAGACGGGAGCTGGCTGCAGAAAAAGCTGCCTGCAGAGTTTCCTGCCACCGTGGTTTCAATCTGTACCTTGCTGGTTTTACTTTGCCTTTTGCCTTCATGACTCAGGGTGCTTCCAGACTGTTTCTGTTTTCAGGTGCTATTTGATCACGTAGTGGCAAATATGGGCTGTGCAATTAAAATTTATATACAGTCGTACCTTGGGTCCTAAACGCCTTGTGAGTTGAACGTTGTGGCTCCCGAATGCTGCAAACCCAGAAGTGAGTGTTCCAGTTTGCAAACGTTTTTTGGAAGCCAAACATCTGACACAGCTTCCACGGCTTCCGATTGGCTGTAGGAGATTCCTGCAGCCAATCAGAAGCTGCTCCTCGGTTTCTGAAAGTTTTGGAAGTTGAACGGACTTCCGGAATGGATTCTGTTTGACTTCCGAGGTACAACTGTATAGCGCTCCTGTGTAACAAACTTACTCCTCCAACATGGTTCTCAAAAGGCCTGGCACGCCACAGAGCTGTGGCAGGAGAGAACGGCAAGTGTGGAAGATTCAAGGACCATCAAAGAAACATTGAAACATTTCAGTGTAGCATAGTATCTCTGCCTTATTTGCCGAATATGGATATATATCTTTTCAATATGAGAGCAAGAACAACAAGTGATACTGAAGACAATCCTAGTTGTGTTTTCCATTGTATTTCTTATCAATAAATATAAATAATTTGGTGTGGCACAAGCAAATTTTTAGTCTGAAGTGTGGCCCAGAGGGAAAATATTGAGAGCCACTAGTTTACCCTAAGCCTTTTGGGACTTCAATTCTTAATCATTAAACTTTTTTCTTCTTTTTGCACCCTACTCAGTTTTATCTATTGTATATCATTTTATTCTGTTTCTAATGAGCCTTGCTTGATTCCTGTTGTGCTTTCATATGAGTTGCTATGGATAATTTTCTTCTGACTATATATATATATATTTAGAACTGTCTTAGAGATTTCCTTTTATATCAAATGCTATAGGGAATGAATGAATGAATGAATATATAATATGCACTTTGGAATATTCACAAAGTACATAAAAAGGAGTCCGGCTGCTGGATCAGGCCCAAGCTATATTTAATTCAGTATCCTGTTCTCCCAGTGGACAGCCAGATGCCTATTGGAAGCCTGCGAGCTGGACCTGAGGGCAATGGCATTCTGCCCACCTGTGATTCCCAGTATTCTTATAAATCTCTGAAAAGCACAAAATTTATGGCTTGTTTTCACCAGATAAGAATCTGGCCCATTGCTTCTTTCAGAGACTTGCATAGTCTACAAAGACTTTCAGAGACTTACAAGACTTACGTTTATTTGGTTCTATGTTTTCAAGAGAATCCACCAAGAGTGCATATTTTGTGATTTTCAGAGATTTATAAGATTTCTGTTTATTTGTTTATTTGGTTTTGCAGAGAGTGCATATTTCATATATTTCATACTGTTCAATGTTCTGCATAGATTATATAAAGAGTTTATATTGATATCGCATTGTTGTACTTGGTCATCGTGTTGCCTTGGATATTACTGATAATTGTTTGCAACACAGGGAATTGTGATTCCCAGCAACTAAACTTTACATGCTGCCTCTGCTGGTGGAGGTGGAACATTGCAATCGTGATATATTGTAAATACAGTGGCACCTCGGGTTACATACGCTTCAGGTTACATACGCTTCAGGTTACAGACTCCGATAACCCAGAAATAGTGCTTCAGGTTAAGAACTTTGCTTCAGGATAAGAACAGAAATCGTGTTCCGGCGGCGCGGCGGCAGCAGGAGTGGTGCTTCAGGTTAAGAACAGTTTCAGGTTAAGAACGGACCTCCGGAATGAATTAAGTACTTAACCCGAGGTACCACTGTACAGGAAATGTAAAAATGTAGGCACACCATTATTGGCTCAGGCCAAAGGATCAACATCCTGCGCTAACTTTGGCGAGCAAGATGCCTATTATGAAAAGCCCAGAGCAGAACCTGAACCCAACACCACTCTCCCCAGTTGTGTGTGCCATTTAAATTCTACTCCATTGATCCAGAGTAGATTCCAATGTATAGTTAGCAGTGTAAATGCTTAAAACACGTTGCAGGATTCCCCCAAAAATAGACCAGAGGCATTTCATCCAGCAGAGCTTTGCTGCTACTGAAGGCAAATGAGCATAATGGTCACAAATGCAATACATTCCGGATTGGCACTGTCCATAAGAAATCCAGTTGCAGCAGACTTAACTTAAACTTACAATAACTTATGATAAGACTAAACTACATACAGGACCCCACACCAGAACGAAAAAAGAGAAAAAGAGAGAGAACAAAACCCAGGCTCCTTCTTGAATCAATCAAAATGGGAAAACTCTCTACACATCAGATCAATACTTTCTGTACTAAGAAATGCAAACTGACAGTGTGATTCCCAGTAACTGGAATACAGCAATGGATGTGGAACACAGCCTTCATGACTAGTAGCCATGGATAGTTTTATCTTCCACAAATTTGTCCAATCCCTCTAAAAAGACATCCAAGTTGTTGGTTGTCACTATATCCTCTGGCAGCGAGTTCCATAGTTCAACTCGTGAGCCTTGTGAAGCTGTGATTCAAACCTCAGCTCATAGCTTTGAAGGAGCAACAGGCAACTGACTAACCAACAGGACCCTAGGAAAGAAAAGAAACTCATATTTTTTTTTAAAAAAGAAAGGGAACTCTTGCAGTCTGTTCACCAACTTGCCTTGCTTCAGAATCCACTGCACACAGCAAGCTGTTGTACAGGATGTGAATGCTTAGGTTGCCAACTTTTCAACTGACCTCTGTAGCTGTGCCATTTATTAGTAGTGTGGTCTGCACCAATGAGCAGCACAGCACAAAGGCTGATATTTATTTATTTTTAAATCACAACCCTCTGTACCACAGGTAGAGAAAGGCTTTCATGGAGGCCTGGCCAAGTGGTCTTTTGGGGGCAAATAAATGTTTCTATATTCACGCCTGAAGTATTGGAGGGGAAAGCAAGCAAGCCCATAAGCATGAACAGAGTTATTTCACCTTTACCACAAAGTTTTATGTCTGGCATTAGGCCCATGGATATTCATTCAAAAAGTGTAATGGAAATCAAGTGGAATAAAACTCCCCCATGAAAAATCATCATTTGTTTTATTTACTGAATTTTATACCACACTTTTCCTCCAAGGAGCTCACGATAGCCTCTGTTATGGGTCTGTACCTTCCAGAAACAATACATTTTATTCTTCGGCTGCTACCAAAGTCTGCCTAAGACCTTTTGCACATGTGGAAACCTTCAGAATAACAAACACCCAAGCCCCTTGGTGAATTAATTAGCCTGAGGAGCTTAGATCTCCCAAGATCTTCTTCTTCTGCCTCCATTGTCTTCCAAGATGTCACACCGAGTTCTTGCAAGGAAAACAAACAAACCTTCAACCTTCATATATAATTGGAAGAAGGAAAATCTCAGAGGTGGATCCAAAAGGACTCTGGGTAAGCAACGAGCTTGAAGGAGAGATCATAACAAAGAGGTAGGATCAAGTCATGAAGACCTTGTCACAATCGCTTTCTTTCTTGACCCTTTCAGGTAAATATTTGCTACTTCGACAAGGGCAGAACGGGTTGTGTCCACTGCTAGGGCTACTCAGAGTTAGCCCCACTGAAGCCAGTGGACATGACTAACTTAGGTTCATTAATTTCAGCGGGTCTCCTTTGAGTAGGGCTACCACTGGATACAAACTAATGGAGATAATATAAGTCTGAAAAGGTGGCTGTGTGAATCTATCAGTTTCAGAAGCTCATTTTTTCACTCTTAACTTGCAGTCTCCCACATTTCCATATGTGTTTGTGATTTGGTTTTGCGAGTCCTTATGAAAACCACCAGCACTTTGTGACTTTCTCCTAACCTGTACCTCATTGCATGCCATTTTGCCTGGTACACACATTTTTGCAAGGCGATTTTTCCTACTATGAGGCATTTTTGTATGTTATTTTTATTATGCACATTTATGTGTACTCTTTCACCTAATACACATGCATGCACAGATGCATGCATGCGCACACACAATTATTTGACTGGAGAACAGTACTACAAAATTCAGAGAAGTGTGTTTTTCGAAAGATAGCTGGGTCCAGAGCAGATTTATGGGGCACGGGGTGTGGGGAGTGTGAAGGGAGGAGAGGAGAGGGAAAGAAGGTGCTATTGTATGCGCATACCTCATTCCACACACCACAACAACTTAGCTGAATGCTGTCCATAGATATGTGACAAGATTATTTGTGAGAGAGAGACTGGGAAGGAAGGAAGATGGGCATGGCAGATGAAAGAGAGCAAACTAAGGAGAAAAACAAAGAGATCATAAATCTTCATATTGCAATAAAACATTCCCCTGGTGTAGCCCAAGCCAGTAATATCTCACACACTTCTGAAGTTTCCTTCTTAACAGGGCTGGTCCTACCATGAGGCAGCTGCCTCAGGCGGCAGATCTTGAGGGGCAGCGAGTGGTAGGAATGTAATCTAATTCTTCAATCAATCAAATCTTTACTACAGTCACAGACCAGCATAAGTAGGGTGGGGTACAATCATTTAAAATCTGTAAGACGTTTTGGAAAGCTAAAATTATTAAAACAGAAGGTATATGTAAAAGACTATAAGAATCTAAAAGAAGCTAAAAGAAGGGTTAGGAGTATTAAACGAATGTGGAAGAGCATAAAAGGTTAGTATATAATCAATTCATTAATTCTTGCCACCCGGACCATTTTGCTTCAGTTCTCACTTTACTAAATGTAACTATCTCCAATCTGGTCTTTTAGCTTTTTGAAAACAATGTTTCTGTTTACCTTT